AAAGGGCACCCCGGACCTACCAGGACTTACACAAGTGATCCGGGCCTTTCAGGACTAAGCGAACATGACGACTCTTATAGGGGATGATGACCACTGTGTCCTCAGCTGGAGCAAGACAGATGGAACAGCATCAGCATGTTGCTCATGATAAAAATGTGCACATTAAATACAACCAAACACAAAGTGATTTTATCATTATGACCAGAAGAACTGAGATGAAAAAACCTTGTAAGACATCTTTAACTGGGGAGGGGAAAACAAAAGGATGATTTACTTTTCCCTGAAGCGTGCTGGGATTTGTACTGCCCTCGCACCAGCCTGCAGGATGAGCCATCTCCATTGCAAACACCGCAGTTGTCTTCCTTTGCAGCACTCCCCAACTCATGATCACAGCCTACAATCTTTAACACAGACACAGAAGAAAACGGAAACATCATCTACCACATGTAGAGAAACCTAACATCTGTACAAGTCCTCATTTTATCTATATGTGCATTTGTGTTTGATATAAAAAGCATGACTTTGTCTTTCCTAAATTGCGAATGTGAAATATAAATTTATCAAAATTCCTGACAAAGTAAATGGCACAGAATGCGATTTTTTTAAATGACTTTGGTTGTATTTAATTTTTCTGTTGACATTTAAATTAATTAGAGTAAATCATATTTAGTTACAACTGGCTATAATAATTTTGTTTTGCCTCTAATTAGAATTTTTTTTTACATTTTGGTAATGATATCCAAAACCTTTTTATCTTGTTAATGCATTGAGAATCTAGAAACACTACCCCTATAAAAGCCCTCTAAGCGAGCCCCTACATTTCTCAAATTAGTCATTTGAAACTTTTGAAACTGAAATGAAGAGCAAACCGAGCAGGGCAGATTTTTTTCCTACATATTATTGTGGGCCCACAGGAATACAAGTTTTAATTTACCAAAAATACATAAATAGAAGTCAACTGAAATACTTGATGACAAAAAGAAACATAGCTCTGTAGCACGTTCTCCCACCTGGCACACGCCACTGATGCACATGTCCAAAGATTCAGTGTAACAGCGTGTTCCATCCAGGACTTTGGGCGCCAGCTCTGCCACAAGGTCCGAGCCCTTGGGTTTACACTTTAGAGAGCAGGGGTTGTCTGGATCATTGTACACAGGCAGCCATTCATGGAATTGACCCTGGTATTGCACATCTGCATGAGCTGAACACTGCTGGGCCCGGAAGTCACCAGCATCTGGAGGGCAGTCCTGAGTGAAAACCCCAAAAAATAACATTATAGATATTACTTTCTCTGAAGACTTCGGTGTAAAATACAACACTCAACTGTTCATTTTTATGTGTGAAGAGGTTTGACAACTAACATATCTTGGCTGTTAAGACTGCGAGAGCTGCATGTGTGTAATTAATTGCTTCCATCCAGTCTGACATCCATTACATAAAGAGGAGTTTGCTGAACTTACCACATTACTGCATGTGCGATATTTGATATTCTGCCCCTCGCAGGTTCTGTAGAGGACAAACAATTCAAATGAGGGTGGACTTTTGGTAGAGTATGATCAAACAAACCAGAATGCCCACCATTCATCTTTGCCTGAGGCAGCTACTATTTGATCCCCTGATTCTTGTCTCATTTTTCAAAAGATAAGATGTTGTATTATTGCATACAAACAACATGTTGATGTATCTACGTGTAAACTTATCATAATGCTTGTTTATCTTCAAATGAAGTTGAAACACTTTTAAATGTAAATAGAAACATTGTAACTGGGTTAATGAGATTTTTTGTGATATACTGTCGGCCTTTAAAAATGCAGATTTTAAGAGTTTAACTAGAGAAAGATTTCAACTGTTGGTAAAAGAGACAACGGCCATGAAAGCAGTTCTGAGTGTATTTTAGGAGAAGGGTGTTTCGATCAGACCACACTAATGCAGAGGACATTATCAGTATGATGTGACCACAATTACTCCCTCAGCTCAATTACACACAGTGCCTGAATTCGGAAAGAGGTCCGAAAGGGCTCATATTTGCCTCACCATAAAAGTGAGTAAACAAATAGTTTCACTATAAATCAGGCATTATGCCATTAGAACAACAGGAACAGTCTTCCAGTCAGTGTCTGCTCAACAGATTGGAGCAGTTTGGATCATGGCTCTCCTCAGTCTGCAGCCTCTCTGCCCAAATTATTGAGCTCACCACTTAGTAAAAGGGAGGATTCCTTTGCGATTTGCTGCGGAGGGATAATAAACCATTGATGCTGACAATGACAGGCCAATTATCCGAGACCACAGTGGAAACTGATCGACTGATATTCTTTTGAATTTGCAGCTTGAGAGGAATTCCACTGTCATTGGTCCTTAGCTAATCTAAAATCATGATTGGAGCCAACGTCGCGGAGTTTGGGCTCACACAAGGGTGAAGGCTAAAGGATTTTTACAGTATTATTATAGGGAAAGCAGGGAGTGGATGTGGAGCGTGTGGCATGGCAAGAACATTAGAGCCGGTGACGAATCCAGACGGTCCCGACTGCCAAATCAAACAGCGAGTCATGGGGCTTGAACCCAAACAAAAGACATTCAGAGACCAAGAGCTGAGAGACAGGTAGCAAAGATTAGTGTGGAAACTCACGCTGGGACAAGGAATATATAAACTCAACATTAAAAGATGCAAAGGGAGTTAAATTAATTTCCCTTTTCATTTCCTTCTCATATTGGAGGCTCAAAGTTGAGGCTCACCAGCATTAATAGCCTTGACTTCAGGATTTATCATGGTGTCACAACAGGTTAGAGGAAAACGGCAGAGCTGATAAATAAGAATGTGTGAAGGACGTCACACATAACTCACAAATAATCACTTTCAATTTTCCTTAAAATAAACACTAAAAGACGCAACAAAGCATGATATAAAACTAATATCGTATTTTTAAAAAGTATTTTCTGCACATACACTTTTCCTTCCGCAGAGAAAGAATTGCACCGTGGGATCTATAGAATTATTGGAACTCTTGAGGGAGGGAGCACATTGGAATGTGGTTGTTTTTGTAATGCTTAAAATATGCTCTCACTGTGAGCTCTGCCACTGATTAGGTAGGCAGGCAGTTTAAGGAAAGCTGCATGCAAGAATGGCACAATGAAGAAGCAGCAGGAGCAAAAATAAATAAATAAAAAAACCCTGTTACTTTCACTGTGTCACTCAGTCTGACAAACAGGTTGAGATTCAACCTGAGGTTTGCTGTTCTGCACACATGGTGGTCGCCTATAGTAGCGGGAGCCATAATCTTTGGCCTGAATCAGGTGAACAATTAATTGCGTCCAAATGACTGAACAGATTAAAAAAATGTAATCTAAACTGACACAGTCGCTGAATGACTGCGACAGAAAATTCTGCCCGTCAGCGACTCAGTGAAAAAGAGAAAGCAACCTTTTTGCAACACTTGAGCAGTTCCCATGTTTGTCCTGGTTCATCATCCTCATATGTGTGTCTGGAGTGGTATTGGTTTGGAGGGTGTTGCAGGCTTGTTTCCAGCCGCTCTTTCCAAAGACCTTACGCACACACACACACACACACACACACACACACACAAACACACACACAGAGCCTTGAGCCGTGTTTTTTAATGATGCTGTTTGATCTGCCACTGGGGGCCCGGCTACTGTTCCCCCATTCCCACGCAGCAGTGGGGTGAGGTGGGTCAGCATGGCCTTGTGGGTCCTAAGAACCACAGGCATTATAGCATCCGCCAAAGGCCACAGGAGTCTGCAGGGATGTGAATGAGCATGTCGCCATATGCATGCACAAACACACTGCCCACAGCCCAATTTGGAGTTCAAACCCCAAACACCTCTTAACACCTCAATTGGTTTTACAGCCAGCAGTATTCTGAGGTTTCAATGACCAAAAAAAAAAAAAAACCCTAGGCAGGCACAGAGAGGTGGTTGCTGCTGATATAATAAAATGAACTCTTGAGAAAGTCATTAACTGCAATGTTTACAGTTCAGCGCTGTAGGGGTCTGGCACTTTGAGAACACGCTTTTTGCAGTCCAGTGTTCCGAAGCCGTTTTTCTCTAACGCGAGTTCAGACGGATTCATTGTTAAGAGAGGTGCAAGCACCATATGGTATCTCCGTTGCGACCTCAAAGTATGATCTGTGCTGCTTTGTCAGTTTGTCTTTACACAGTTGCTTTGTTTTATGATCTCACTGGCTGCTCCTGTCACTGGTGGCTCCTTTTAGAGCCCCGAACTGAAAAAGTGGTGACTTTAGCAGCAAAATTCACTGGCTACCTTTAGCAAATGAGCAATACATTCTGGGAACTGTAAAAAGGAGGAATGCAGTGAAGTCACCCTGCTGCTATTTCCCAGCCCATAAATGTGACAACATTGCTATGGAAAACATACCCTCTCAGGCCTTCTGTTCCGTTTTTTTCTCTTGCCTATCAACTGCAATTGTAACCGGCCTCTTTGCCTTGCACATTCTGCCCAGTTTTTATCTTTAGTAAACTGAATTAAGCAAGAGCCTAACCAGCCAAATGACCTTGGCACGAGGATAAAAGTCTCGGTTCCTCAAGAGACACGAGCTGAGATGATGAACAACGGCTTCACTAGTTGCAAAACACAAATCCCACTGAAGAGTTATTATATGTGACCTGTGCTTGCAAAAACATTAACGGTTCAAGTTAACACAATGAAACATGTCTGGGTCATTAACAAAAATCAGAGGTTTTAATTTTCAAGGATGAAATCAAGATGTATGCTCACATGGCTGTCAAGAAAGTTTGTCTGCTACAGTACACTTAACAGTCAGAGAAATTTTCAACCCTCCTATGACAGCCCACAGAACCAGAGTGATCTAACGGTGAGGAAAATAGCCCACATCTAAAAGCCATGAAGTGAAAGATTGGACAGGACTTCCCAATATGAGATGAGCTTGGATAGTGTTTGAACCCAGAGTTTCAATTACCAATAAGATGGTTCCATTTGTCCAGAGGTCAGTGAGTTTCTAACCTTCGCTTTCCTGTAAATCCTCTTTCCCTGTGATGTAATGGTAATTAAATCACTGAGACTTTTTACAGGGCAGCATGCTCCGAGTATGATATTCAAAAAATGTGACTGCTATTTCGAGTCTGGTTTTCATAAGAATAATTTCTTTGTCAAGTTGTTGAAAACTGAGATTACCTCAGGCATCAAATGGAAGCACAGTATATGATAAGGATCAGGTGATAAAGAGATGTGAAAAAAAGAACAGACAAAATAAAGATTAAAAGACCAGAACCTGGCAGGAAACTAAGGAAGAAGTGACCTTACTTGGAGCTGAGGCATCGTCTTAAAGAGTAGGAGGCTCCACCGCCACAAGTACGAGAGCATTCGCTCCAAGAGCCCCAGGCGTCCCACAGCGTGTCCCTGTCCTCCTCTGAGCGGGCTGTCCGTGAGCTCTACACACCACACAAGAGTTCATGAGTCATAAAGCCACATTATCGCACTTCAATAGAAGAAAAATACATAAGAAAAAAATCAGTTCAGAGGTGAAAGAAGACTTGATGGATACATCTAAGCCTGACTTCTGACTCTTCTGAATTCTTATGATAAACTGCTCAGTTAAAGAGCACAAAAACAAAGCCTGCACTAAATTACATTAGCTGCTGAAACGAAGAGTACATGTGACAGAACGAAAGAGGCAGTAAAAGGAAGTAATCAGGAGCTCTTGACTTCTGGCCCTTTTGCATAATTTAAATGTCAGAGTCATCCAAAGTTTGTCCTCCTTAAAGCTTGAGCCACACTTGTGTGCCTCTCTCCGTTAATTGCATTGTGCTGTATTTGGCAGTGGAGTTCGGAATATTACCGCAGCACCCAAAATCAATATTGAGGGAGGACAGCAAGCATCTCAGATGTAGAGTGACGGCCAAAAGATCCTCTCCACTTCATCTATCTCCATCTGCTCCAACTTGCCTCTCAGGGTTCTTTTCATTTCCAGGGAGGATTTAACTGGACTGGCTAACCTTGGTGTTAGAAAAAAAAGTGCATTTGTAAAATTTTGTGCATATGATTTGCAGCAGGTTGCTTTTTCTCAGCTTTACTCAACAACCACAATTTGGAGATAAAAGAAGGAAGTCAGGGAGCTGCATCTTCTTAATACCAAGTTTAGATAAGTTAAAAAGGAAAATAGTTTGCCTTTGCTATCTACAACAACAACAGATTATCTAAGTGAGACTAAGGCCAAGGAAAAACTGCCTCTCTACCTGCCGAATGGAAGAAAAGCTGGAAAATCATTTAAAAAAAAGACTTGGAGTGAACAGTGGGACAAATTATTCACCTCCTGTGGCAGCAGGAATGTGGCTCAGTGCGTCTGGAGGTGTGAACACATTCAATAAAATAATCTGCCATTCAACTGAGGTTTTAGGGCTCTCAAAAGGAGTAGATGAATATGAGACAAATCATTTCACCTCAGTGAACAATGAAGAAATATTTTAGAGAGCACAAATGCTATGAATGTAAACTCTGGAAATTCTCCCTCTTTGGGAACTTCACACTATGAGAGAAACAGAGTTTTTTTTTTACAGGAACCTTCAAATTCTGAATCCTGCTGACTAGGCATCAAATGTAAAGGACTACAGGCTCGCTTAGTCTAAATTAACTGAATAGGGAAGGGACAAAAACCGCTTGTGTCATAACTGCTCTAAAGACTATTGTGACCCAGTCAGCTTGGAATTGTGGGGCACAGTCTTGAGATTTTTGAGGAAAACATAGCTTAGTTATTCTGACCTCTTCAGCTCCTTTCTCCAACAGCGTGGCCCTGTGCTTCGTCTACAAAGATGAATGGATCTTGCAGAGGAAAGCAGATACAAAGCAATAGTGCTCTGATTATTTTCTTTGGGTCGGGGTAGCAAAAACACCCATGCTGTACTGAGCTGGAGAGGTGGTGGGTTCACGTTATTAAAAGTGCGTGGGGACTGATATAAATGGCTGTCAGCGCTGATGACTTCTGAGGAACAGCACAGGCCAAAAGCAAGAGCTAAACACAGTCAGTGGAGCATACAGCCAAACATGTCGGCATCGGTGCTACTTTCTGCGCAAGCCAACTATTTCAATGTTTAGATTGCAGTAAATAAACCCAGGCTTTTTTCTGGGCAACCAGTTTGAGCGCCACCTTCGTACTCCTTTGAAAAGCAATCAGTGAATTTTGCACTCAATTACAACTAAGATGTGTGTTGCGGAGCCAAGACAGCCGGGGCATAACGAGGCCGGCGAAGACAGAGGAGAGGAAGTAGATGAAGGATGGAAGGATGGAGATGAATAAGTTGTTTGGCGGACTGTGCTGCTATTGTTCTCCGTGGAGGCGCAGGAAGACAAGGCTCTGCAAGTTGGACAGCCGTCCCGCTGGGATTTGGATCCGGTAATCAAAAGGATCAAATATCCACTTGGAATCTTCCTAACCCTCTATAACCACATGCCCTACCTCTGCTGCTATGATCCCTCCAGGTTTTTATTTTCACTGGCCAGCTTCATGAGCGAAGCATGCAGCATTTGGGATCAGGATACAACACATACATGAGACTAACAACGCTACCTCCAAAAGAACCAGTTACACAAAAAGGCATGTACTATGTGAAAAATTTAGAAAAAGTTAATATTACATGTGCCATGTTTTCAAGTTTTTTGAAAAGGAGGAAGTAAGTTCATGTTGATAAGTCGGTGAGTCCCACGCCATGCTTTATTGTGACAGACAGCCTATTTAAGACACCTGTCAGCTGAGACTCAATACATTTTCCTTGAGGATGGAAATCTCCTCAACAGGGAAAAAGAAACCCGACTCTGGTGCCTTCTTCTGCAGACTATGTCAATATACACATGATGCCTTTTTTATCCGGCAAGACATACGATATTTGCACATCTGCTGAATCCCTTGTCATATACTGCACGGCAAAGTACTCCCTGTCATGCCGGGAGGCAGTCACTGTAATGTTACAGCGAGCCCAAACCTCAAACAAAACAGCCTTCAGACCTACGCATGCACGACAAGTCTATTTTTGGTTACCTGGATCCAAAAAAATGGAGGCACTGAAGGGATTTAGCAGAAGAAACTAAGACGTTTCACCCTAACTGCCAAGTTATGGCTACAGCTGGAAAGATTCTGAGATTCTGGAAGATTTTGATTGGATAGTTTCTACATTAGTACATATGATTTCGGAATGCAATAAGTAGTTTAAAGGAAAGCTATCATTTAAAATATATATATATGTATATATAAGCAATAATTCATGATGAAACTGAGAAATCATCAAGTAATCATCACAGTACCAGCATAAGAAGAGCTGTCACCAGCAGCTTGCAAGATGAAAATTGTTGCTCCATATTTTCTCAGTGTGTGACCCACTGTTTCCAGTTCTGCTTGCACGAGTCCTCAGCCTCTTGCCTTCCTTAGTAGGTAACCCTGTGAGTCCTGCCTGCCTGCCTGCCTGCCGTCTTCTCTCTGACTTTCTACCGTCCTTCCTCAGGAGTACCGTACTGGAAAGAGGGAGGGAGGGAGGAAGGGGGATTGTGTGTGCGTGCATGTTTTCGTGTGTGCGATTCATGGAGGTTGGGGGAAGTAATCACAGGGGGTTCCAAGCCCCATGAGTCCTCAGGCCTGGCACTAGCCAATCAATAAATAGGCCTCAGTCAGGCGAGCTAATACAAACATGGAGCTGGGCCAGCTGCAAATTCACGACTTCACACTTTTGTATTTGTGTGTGTATGTTTGTGTGTTTGTGTGAGCGGGAATACAAAAAGACAGATCTAAAAAACACCTTTCTGCTTTTCATTTCTTTGTCTAAATATGTCAGCTTTTGTGCCTGGCATTTCTATTTCTTATCTTTAACAATTTTTCCTGAATTTACTTCTCCACTACGACACTCGTTGACTGTTTCTCATTTCTTCCTTTGGTCTGATGAGTGCACTCTGTCTTTTTATATTCCTCTAAAGATTCTAGAGATTTCCAAAACAAATATACTGTATTGTCTTGACAAGTACCCACCAGGCACAGCAAGAAATGGAGACATACATTTGGCATCACATGACACCATGACTTGGAGTCCAATGTAAATCAGATGACATGGTTTGGTCACTGAAGCTATCAGATAGACTATTCAGCTGTGGTGACTTATTTCTATTCCTTTATGAGCTAAAGGTCTACTTCAATAGAGCCTTTCATAACATCTGGCAGTTTAACACAGAGTGAACATTTACACTGTGGAGGTGGGGAACAGGCCAGGTGTACCCTGGAGGGACAAATCCTCTGGTTATGGTGAAAAAAGCACCCTATAAGATGGACAGGTCTTGGCAGAAGGAATATCGTGTACACTGAGTGGCTTTCCAGCTTCATTTTGAAACAGCGAGACAGAAAACCTAAATCTCAAGCAGAACATTTAAAGTAGAGCTGTTAAATTGAATGCCAACATGTTGGTGCTCCTCAGTGCGACTCACAAGGTAGCAGGCTTTCGTTCAGGCATTCAACTTTGACCATCCAAAGACAATAAAAACTCTGTGCTCTTCAAATCAAGACTCCCAATCAAACACCAAATCAAAAACCACATAATTGCAATCAATTAAGGCTGTGCGGAATGTGCTGTACTGCAGAGCAAATAGTCAGTGACCATAATCACAACATCTGAGAGGATGTCTCGGCACTTTACCGATGCTGACACACACACACACACACACACACACACACACACACACACAAACTAACAAGTCCAACTCACTGCTGTCAGTATAGGGCTGAGTAGATTTGGTAGAGGGAGCTGTACAGAACACAAATAGAATAGTTCAAACCTAACCCTGATGCCTGGTGGGAAAAAGACATTAAGGTGCACATATTCACAGGCACACAGAGGTCATGACCCCATGCAGACTTAATCCATAACCTTCTGATATTTGCTTTCAGAGGAAATCCTTCAAATATTTGCAAATGTGCGACCTCTGAAAATAAACCGTGGCATCAGCGATGTGCCCAGAGCTTAAATCGAAACACCCGGAGAGGAAATTAATGTGTTTGATTGACACTGGCTTGGAGCCGGTTCTCTACCACAACATTGTTGAAGATATCTCCTGACATTTTAAACAATAATCCGGGAAGATGATGAGGCAAAGTAAAAAGCAATATAGCTGTTATTTTACACCAGGGCTAGCTTAGATATCATGTTGCAAAAGGGTCTGGAGAATTGGAGGCACTCACTTTCCACAGACAAATGTTCTAATGTGTTATACGATAATCCTGTTTATTATATCTCTGGATCACCAGAGTTTGGGGCATCCTATATATCAATTATGGTAACACCTAATGTAATCATTGACATGGGAAAGCGAGGTAGAATGGATAATCCATGACAATATTAAAGCTCTGTGAAATTCTATTCTGAAGTGATGTTATTCCACTGCTGATAGCGTTCATTTTACT